TATATATATATATATATATATATATATATATACATATACAGTTGTGTCAGCGTAAAAACAATTGGTTCTCTACTCAACTTAAAGCAATCCACCTACCAATTTAATTCACTTGTTTGCTTTTTTTTTTCAGTTATTACTATTTTTCATGGGGCCCAAATGAAAAAAAAAATATAAATCATGTTTAATTAGCAACAATGTTTCTCAGTAGCACAAAACTATAATTAGAGGTTAGTTGTAACCTCTGTGAGGTAGTTGTAGTTGCCTGCTTGTATCAAATGATGAGTGTTTTTTACTCAGAAATTAGGTAAAAAATACTACAAATAAAAATAATAGTTTTTGTGAATAAAATCCTTAAAAAGATATATTAATTCTGTCATATGCTATGCACTAAAAATTCAACATTTAACCAAATGTCAAAATTCAAAGCATAAACATAATGGATAGTCATTAGTATTTTTTGTACAACACCAAATAAAGAAACATTGCTGACAGAGCAATGAACTTGTAATCCTGAGGCTGAAGGTTCGAGCCAAACGTGTCAGGAAGTGAAACACTTGCCAAGTCTTTTATGTGATTGCACTTGTCGTGGTGACCCCTGCAGAAGGAAGCAGCCTAAAACCCCAACAACAGCTGACGAAACGTTTACACACTGATGTGAAAGAAATAAAGACTTTAACTGAACCATATGTAGACTAGAGAATTTGTTTTACAGTGGGAGATAAAAAAACAACAACTTTTTTAAATTAAACTGTGAACAAATGCATCCTTTTTTTCTGCAGTGAGTTAGGGCAAACTGGTAGTGTCTATGGGGTGCTGTTTGTAAAGATACACAGTCAAAAATTAAAAGCAATATTTCGATTTATTTAGCCTTTTATAAGAAAATAAATAGTTTTGTTTTTTTCAAAGTCATATTTTCACCATGTCATTCATATATTTATAAATGTCATAGTTCCAAACTTAATTTTTAATTTAAAATCTAGATATTTAGTTTACAAACTACTTAACATGCAAGTAAAATATTTAGTTAGCAAGCTAAATATTTATCTCCACTCTAAATATTTAGTTTACAAACTAAATGTTTATGTACAAAATAAATGTTTAATTTACAAACTAAATATTTAGTTAGTGAACTAAACATTTAGGTGTAAACTAAATGTTTAATTTCTAAGCTACATATTTATTTTCAAAACTAAACATTTAATTTTCAAACTAAATATTTATATTACACCTTAATTTCCAAACATTTAATTTGTAATCTGAACATTTAATTCCTAAACTAAATATATAACTTGCAAATTAAATATTTAACTTGCAAGTTAAATATTTAACTTACAAGTTACGTATTGAACTAACAAGTTAAGTATTTAGTTGTAAACTAAATATTTAGCTTGTAAATTAAATATTTAGTTTGGAACTATGACATTTATAAATGTATGCATGGTAAAAATATGACTTTGAAAAAAAAATTAAAAAAGCTTCTTTTTTTTTGTCCTTATAAAAGGCTAATGCTTTGAATTTTTCACTGTGCAACTTTACAAATGGCACCCTACCTGTATAAGTGCCAGCTAAATGGACTCCTGTATCTCATTACAGTTTGATTTTTCCCTCTTTGTATTAAATGTTACATGAATCTACTTCACATTTTGCCGACTCCACAGCGCTGCACATACAGATTGAGTCATTTCCAGGAAAGAAGAATGGACAGCGTTCTCCGTTCTCTTTATATCAGACAGCTCATTTCATCAGCAAGATCAAAATCCATGCAGCATCGCAGGTTTAGATAGTTTCTCCTGAATCTGTCACTTTAGAGTCAAACACACACACTTCCTCTCTTATACGTATGTGATGGCTTCAGTTTGGTGTTGCACATCTGGATATCTGGCGGCCTGAAACTGGCAGACTGGCTGCGTTTTATTGGGTTTTTTTTTTTCCATCACAGATATCAAAACGTCTATTTCACAATGAAAAATGTGTCAGAGAGACTAAAGCTGTAATAACGCTGAGGTGGCAGTAAATAAATGGACAAACAGTTTGACACATTCACACTCTTTCTTTCTCCAGGAGTTGCAGTTTGAACGTCTGACCAGGGAGCTGGAAGCCGAACGACAGATTGTTGCCAGTCAGCTGGAGAGATGCAAGCTTGGCTCTGAGACTGGAAGCATGACTAGCATCAGGTGTGTGTGTGTGTTTCTACCACCTGTCATGTCCGTTTCTGTATGTTTTACCTGCGTGTGTCAGCTGTGCTCTTGCAGGTGACTGACTTTATAGTCGGTCACACTTCTCAGTGTGTGCTGGGGTTCACTGTTCAAACACCAAAGCCATGAAATTGTGTTAATTTTTCTGCAACTGCGCACTTCATGTGTAGTTACGTCATAAAGCTGCGACATGCATCCATTTTGAACTTTTATTCCCTTTGACTTCAGCTGAATTATAGTTCTGTTTATTACTTACAATGCCAGTTATAGAACTATTTCAGACCAGAAGTTGAGTTTTTGCATGTTTTTACATGCAGTCTTTGAATGATTCAAACCAATTATATGTTTTAATTTTCCTGATATTTCCCTCATTTTCAAACCTGAGAAAAAATAAACTCAAACGTCTCGTGCCCATCGTATAGAGCAGGGCTATTCAAATGGCGGCCCGGGGACCAAATCAGGCCAACTGATGAACTCAGTTTGGCCCACCAATGATTTCATTTCTAAATAAAACTAGATTTAAATTGCAAACAAACTTACTTAATGACATTAATTGCTGGATGTTCGGCCCCTGAGCTCTTGGCTTTCAGTAACTGTGCCCCCCTGAGCAATTTAGTTGAATAGCCCTGATATAGAATAATGTCCAGTGACAGTTAAACATCATATACAAACATGCTGCTTAAGGATATTTCCAAAAGATTTAGCCAGAATATTTCCTATAATTAAATGGACTCAGATGTGGCATTTGATTCAGACACGCTGATCCTTTGTCCTTTTTAATCCATCCGGCTGTTGTCACATATGGCATCTTTACAAAACGCTTCACAGTAAGAGCCTGTAAAAATAAATAAAAAAAGTGTTTAGATAAACACAAAATGTCTTATTTTTAACTGAAAGGTCAGATAGACAGAGTGCATGGACCTAAAATGGGCAAACGGGTATTATCCAAAAAAAGCAGCTAAAACTGATCAAACATTTCTTGTTCACAGGAGAAAATAAAGTAATGATTAATAAAAAAGCCTAAAAGTCATTTAATTACATTTAAACTTCAATAAATTACTTGGATAGGAAATATATTATATTAAGCTACCCATCTCTAGGATAATCAATAAAATTACAACATATTATAATTATTTAGTTCTAGCACAACACAAACTTGTTTAACAGTAACATTATATATCCATGTAAATATCTTAAATGTGTTTTACGCATGCAGAGGTTACAAATAAACTTCTCTGTATATTTTGATGTATACTTCTGGTTATTTTTTCCTAACGTGTTTTGGTCTTCAATAATTCTGAGTATTTACCTGCTAAACTGCAGAACTTGTGTGTGTGAAAGTCTTAAGTCCTCAATTTCTATTTACATTTTAAGAGGATTTTTTTTGTAGCTACGTACACTGTAGAAAAGCAATCTTGAGCGATTATTTTTCTAGATGCTCTGAAAGTCTTCTAGTCACTGGTAGCTTTTCCACTTATCTTCTGTCCAGTGTTGTGCTAATTTGGAAGGAATCTTGTTCAGACTTCTAAATTTGACCACAACGCATTGTCATGTCGACAAAAAGCAGACAACTTTGCAAAGGACAAATTTTAAACAAGATTTTTCAGCACTTTGTTTTTACCAGCCTGTCATATAAACTTTTTTTCCCTCCATTATTTTAGCTGTATATGGAAAAAAGTATGTTTTTATCATGATCTGGAATGCAGGATAAAAACAGGACTCGGGAAACAAGGATAAAATAAAGAATACTATTTATTAAAAAAAACAAGAAGGCTGATGTGGCAGCAAAACTTACATATATGAACTTGGAGACATGGAGGGAGACGGAGCACAGGGGAACAACAACGAGACACAGAACTTATAGTGACACTAACGAGGGGATAATCATGAACACCTGGGGAAGGACAACGAGGAACAGGTGACAGAGGCAGGAGCTGATTACATGGGGGAAGGACGCTGGTCAGTTTAATCATTGAAGGATGATGTCTCTCTCTGGTCCTGTCAGGTCTTTCCCCCTTGTTTCTTAAACACATACTGTAATTGGATATTAGTTTGTCCACAGACGGTCTAGTTTACGCAAATAAAAAATAAAATAAAACTATACATAGATATACTGCATCCACTAAGATATAGCAAGTTTAAACATAAAAGAAAAGTTCACGCCAACAGTTTTTTAAACCATTGAACTTTGGCAATTCTTGTGCATTTACCAAGTGAAATTTAAACATTGTTTATGTGCCAGAATACTTTGTAATGAACATTAAAAAGCTTTCAGACAGATTTATTATATTATTATTTTATGTTTTGCAAAATTGTCTGTCTCAAGAGAAAACAAGGTAATTTCTTTAGTCACCTGATTTGTTTTTCCAGTTTTAATAATTCATACATTTGTTGGCCTTGGGAGGAAAAATGAAAAACACTGAGTGAGGTGGCGTTCCCCCTGGCACTGCACTGGGCCCCCCAGTGAACCACAGTTTTAGAACTACTGCTTTAACGCCACCCACAAAGCAAGCATTAGTTCAGCTTTTAAAAACTTTAAATCTAGTTCAAGTTCAAGTTGTGTTTATTTGTCATATGCAAAGTTAACACAAGGTGAACAGTACATTGAAATGCTTAGGATGAGAAAGATGTGACTCACTAAAAAAAACAAAAAACTAAGAACAAACAAACAAGAAATATTAAACATGCAATAAGGGTACAAAAAGAAAGCACTAAAAAGTGAAAAAGTAATTATAATATGTACAATGTGCTAAAGAGAAAATGGTAAAAAAAAAAAAAACATGGTAGAATTTTAATGGTGCAAACAGGATGAATTTGTAGAGGTAATATAAGCTAAAATGCACATGATTTATATAGCACATATCTAACATATACTACACAGTTTGTACACAGAGATACTGTATCATACATGATACAGCCACATAGTGCAGCAGCAATAAATAATAAACATGTTAGCTGTCACAAGCTAATATTAGGCATGTTAGTTGTTACAGATGTGGCTTGGTGCAGTTGTTCAGTGTTATTTATTGAGAGTTCAGTAACCTGACAGCGTGTGGGTAATAACTGTCCTTTAGTCTTTTTGCATGTGATGGCAGACTCCTGTATCGTTTACCTGAGGGTAGTAGATGGAAGAGTCCTAGTGCTGAGTGGGTGTGATCCTTAATGATGCTGCGTGCTTTATGCAGACATCGGCTGTGGTAGATGTCCTGGATGGTGTGGAGGCTGCTACCAGTGATGTCCTCTGCTGTTTGTACCATCTTCTGTAGTGCTTTCTGACTGGTGCAGTTCCCATACCACCCTGTGATGCAGCCTGTCAGCAGGCTCTCAGTGGTCCACCTATAAAAGTTGGTGAGGATGCTGGTGTTTGTACCAAACTTCTTTAGTCTTCTTAGGAAGTAGAGGCTTAAATCAGGCTTTCTTGACCACAGTGTCTGTATGTAAAGTCCAGGACAGATCCTCAGTAATGTGAACGCCGAGGAACTTGAAGCTGTTGACCTGCTCCACCTCAGCATTGTTTATGATGATGGTAGAGTGCTGACCTCCACGCTGTTTCCTGAAGTCCACTATCATCTCCTTTGTTTTGCAGACATTTAGAGAGAGGTTATTCTCCTGACACCAGCTGGTCAGTGATTTCACCTCGTCTCTGTAGGCACTCTCGTCGTTGTTGGTGATGAGGCCCAAGACGGTGGTGTCATCAGCATACTTGAGGATGACGTTAGAGCTGTGCTTGGCAGTATAGTCGTGTTTAAATAGCGAGTACAGGAGTGGACTGAGGACACAGCCCTGAGGTGTACCGGTACTTTGATTAATGAATTAATTTCACTTCATGACAAATTAGTTGTAAAACAGTTAACTGCTGCACAAAGTGGATTTAAAATAAGCAGGAATTTATTCAACAAAATGTTTTTTCAAACCTTGAACAACCCAAGTTCTCTCTCTGCCTAGTAAGGGTGTTTATCTAAACTGACCTCATTTTAAGATCATATGCAGCCTGTAATCAGCTCCTACTATTAATAACTCTGTTTTTGTTGCTCAAATCAAACATGCAAAGTAACAGCACAGGTGATAGAGACACAGAGTTTCTAGGTTTTGTTTTGCCAGAACATATACTGTTGAGTCATTTTGAGTAAAAGTGCAACAGAAACGTACGGACTAAATTTCTAAGCTGCTTGAATATTCAGTATTTTATTCTTGTTTCCATGTTTTAAGCATTAGTTTGATCAAAGCATTGGTGTATTCAGTTTAAACGGCTTAAATTTTAGCTCACATTTGATGGCACAAAAACGTTCTCGCAACTTTAATGTTGCATTGTTCCATTTATTAAAGCAGTTATTGCTCAGAAACAAAGACAAAAAAAAAAATACTCGTGCAGCTGTCACAGTGGCCTATTTTCTTGTTTAGAGTCGTCTTGATTTTTGTGATCAGAGGGAGAAAATTGTTCGACGTGAAGCGACTGTCAAATTATGTGTTGCTGATTGAGTTTGGGGCCCCGAGCTCCATCTTTAATCTGAGCCCAGAGAACGCTGGCTGCTCACCAGCCCCAACGTCAAAACAGCACTCCTGACACAGTGGTGGTAATACACTTAGCCTGCCTCTCAGGACGGGGTAACGCGATTAAAGCCCTGTCTCCGTTTCTGTCTCACCCCGTCCACCACACACACACAGTCACACCCACATACACAAACAGATACACACAATCCATCATCTTTTCTTTCTTTTGATTCTGTTAAGTGAATGGGGATTCTGTCTGCCTCAAACTAATTACTCATCTGCTTCCATTGTGATTGTAATTTCAATTTAAGGACTGGACCAACAAAGAGCAGAAAGATGGTCTAAACCTGATTCATTCAGCAGTCTAATTAACTGCTGCATGTATTTTAGCTCTTCAGTGCCGACACAAGGCTGCATTCAGGAGCCCGATTTAAAACAGAAGCAACATGAGCTGGAACACATCATCCACTTTGTCACCCGGCTCTTCG